TGAAACTGATCCTAGAGCTCTGCAGTTCTTTTTTAAACCCTGTGATATAAGAAACCTCTGGATCACTTTTACGGATGTTCCGTATCTTCCGGAGGACGGTCCTATGGCCATCCAGGTCCGTGTTTTTTTTATCTTTATAAAGGATACTTTCAGCCCTGGGCTGGTTCGTCTCCGGTACGTGTTTATGTCATGACCCCGAATTCTTTCTTATATCGTAGTTCCACATGCTTTCGAAAAAACCGTAGAACTCTAGGATCAGTTTCAAGGATTGACCATTTTTAAAGATGTTCTAGATCTTGCGGAGGATGGTCCCATGGCCTTTTAGGTACATGTTTATGTCACGACCGCAAATTAATTTATATATGACAGTTCCAAGTGATTTCGAAAAAACCGTGGAGCTCTAGGGTCAGTTTCATACAATGACCACTTTTACGGAATTTTCGGATCTTGCGGAGGTCGGTCCGATGGCCATCTGGGTCCATGTTTATGTCACGATCCCAAATTCATTCTAATATTGCAGTTCCTAACGTTTTCAAGAAAACCACGGAGCTCTAGGATCAGTTTCGTGAATTTTCCACTTTCACGGATGTTTCGGATCTTTCGGAGGACGGTCCCATACCCATCAAGGTCCATGTTTATGTCACGACCCCAAATTCATTCTATCATCTCAGTTTTTAGTGTTTTTTTTTTAAACTGCGGAGCTCTAGGATCAGTTTCATGGATTGATCACCTTTTCGGATGTTTCGGATCATCCGGAGGACAGTCCTATGGACATCCAGGTTCATGTTTATGTCACAAGCCCAAATTCTTTCTATCATCACAGTTCCTAATGTTTATAAAAAACGCGGAGCATTAGGATCAGGATCGTGGATTTACTACTTTTACGGATGTTCCGGATCTTTCGGAGGACGGTCCCATGGCCATTTGGGTCCATGACCCAAATTCATTCTTATATCACAGATCCTAATGCTAAAAAAAACACGGAGCTCTAGGATCAGTTTCATGGATTGTCCACTTTTACGGATGTTCCGGATCTTCCGGAGGACGGTCCCATGGCCATCCAGGTACATGTTTATGTCACGACCCCAAATATTTGTTTATATCACAGTTCCTAATGTTTTCAAAAAAACCGCAGTGCTCTAGGATCAGGATCATGGATTGACCATTTTTACGGATGTTCCGGATTTTTCGAGGACCGTTCCGTTGTCTCCAGGATCCATATATAGGAACCATGACTGTATTCTGGCTAATTGTGAACATTTGTGCCCATTAATCTAAATTACAGATCTTGCGCCACTTGCAAAACCCTACAAACACACCTTTCAAAAAAAAACGTGTAACAACTCTTTTCGCTTTTTAAAAAAGTAGACGACTCTATTTTTAAGTTTTTTGCAATCAAAATCATCTAGAAACCCTAGGAATTCTAAAGGTACTACAATTTTTGAAATGCATTAAGAAATGGCTAAGTTGTGCCATTGCAAACTTGCCGTTACACGTTTTTCGGAGGCTTCGTAGTCGGCGTAAAGTTTTTTACCCACCGTATTCGGAGTGTTAATCACTCAGCAATATTGCAAATTGATTTTTGTCGTTTCAATTTCAGATGTAAAGTGCATGATTCTCTAAAGAAAATATTGAAGATGCTGGAGTTTGGAAACAAATATTTGTAAAAACAGAAACTGAATTATTCTTTTCCGGGGTTTTAATTTTTCGTTGTTCAAAATTCTCATGATGAATTCCAGAATTAACTTGGAATTCTGCTCTGAATTATCTTGAAATTGTTCTGAAATAAACCAGAAAACGCTCCACGTAATAATTACCGTTGAATTCTTTTAGGAATTTTCTTCCAACCCCTTCTAAGAATTTATTGGAATCCTTCATATAATTCCCGTTCCTGCCTATCCGGAGACTTTGATTCCTTTAAAAATCTTTTCAAACATTTCTTTTAACTCTATTCAAAACAAAAGAAATCTTTCGAAAAATAATGTATAAACCCCTTGGAGTATTTTAAAGAATTTCTTTCTAATTATCAGCAATTTTTTTGGAATCAATTTTGTTTGGGTTATGTGATGAATCATTCGCACTAGGGTTGAAATTATTGCCAGAACATTTTAAGAACTCTGTTTCTTGTTGAATTCCGATCATAATTCTCTTGGAATTCTTCTTAAAATTCATCTGTCATGTTCCTCACGATGCCCATACAAATCTCATCAGAACCACGTAGGAATTTTCTGCAATGTTTTATTTTTATTTTCACAATTCTTTTTTAAATCTACTAAAATTACCTAACAGTTTAATTTAGAACTTGCATTCTTCTCCAAAGAAATCCTTCCAAATTCATCTAACAATTTCTATGGATTTCATGTAAGAATAATTCTGGAAATCTGCTCTTCTCCTTCGAAAACTGTGTGGGAATCCTTCTCAATATTTGTTTTTAATCAACACTTTGAATTCTTTTAAATATTACTAAAAATTCCAGGGTTTGCCGCCAGATTCTACAGATTGCTATGTAATTTGTTATTACCCTTAAAAGTCTCAGAGCGTGACAATTATGACTCCACGACTCATAAGTATGATGTTTTTTTTATAAATCTGTGATATTGAAAAAAATTCAAAATTTCACATTTTAATTATTGTTTCTCCAAATCTTGCATCACGAAGCATGTTATTAATCACAAATTTTGAAGAAAAGTTATAGTTTCAGGCTCTACACAAATTTCAAAGCTCCAGAATCTTGGGAATCTTCTTAAATCACATTTTTTTTATCCTATCAGTAAATTTTGTTTTTTTTTTGTTGCATATTAACAACCGGGAATTTTATAAGATTTGAACCGGAAAAACCGGGAAAAATCTGGGATTTTCAAAATGAAAATTCACTGGCCACCATGTTGATTCTCGTAATCAACTTTCTTTTTGAAAAAGATTACTACAAATTTGGATCGCCTACAATTCAAAACCGGAAAGAGTTGAGATAATAGATATTTCAGGCATAACATTTGATAACGGCACAAAAGCATTTGTAAACAAACCTTCTTAGGCCCTTTACACGCGAACCAAAGTACGCCTACGCAAACCAACAACATCATCGCATAGGGGCAACTATCACCTTTCCGTAAGTGGCATTGGTTTGCGTGGGCGTACTTTAGTTCGCGTGTAAAGGGCCTCAGAATGTTTGTTTACAAATGCTTTTGTGCCGTTATCAAATGTTATGCCTGATTTGATCAATTAAAAGAACTTAATACTCTTCACATTTATTCCGTCCACTAGCGGTCCTACGTCAAGCTTCCGTTTGTGCCCCTAGGCACAGACCCTTCTACTTTTTTCCTAAAAAAACACTCTTCTCACCCACCGTGCCACCAAACAGCTCAGCTCCTTTACCCTAAACAAGAAAACTGCTGGTATTATATTCAATTGTACCAATCGGCACCTTACAATGCTGATGTATGTTCGTTTTTGTCGCTCAACAGTCATTTAAGTTTGGCATACCTTGGACAGACAGTTCATCAGCCATACAGCATGTAACACATGCCCAGTTGGGTAGTGGTAATATAAAATTACACAAATTTTCTCGATGACTCCTCTATTATAGAAATTTGTCTACATGCAGGTCTCACAACACCGCAAACAAAATGGACTGATTAAATTCCACCTATAAATATCCCTGTTCAGTTCCACGTTTCTCTATACAATTACAATGCAATTACACTAATCGGTGTTCAACGGTAGAAGTCCTTTAACTCGTCCTATAGCCTACCAGTTAAAACAAAGTGCATTCCCCGGTGGTGAAATAAAGTTTTACAGGTTTTTCCCTTTTCACTATCGATATCCCGGTATATTCACAAGCGCACCGATTTTCTCGTCGCCACTTTTATGTATGATATTGAAGATTCTAAAACGGTCTAACAAGGTATTGTTAATTTGGTTTCCAGGATGAATATGATATACAGAAACACTTGTTGTTTGTCCTGCAGTATATGCACTAAGAGAGCGAGACCCTGCTCGCATAGTTTATTTACTTGCTTGCTTTTACGCATACGCTTATGAGTTACGTACAATGTAACTATTCGATCGCTACAATAATAGCTTCTCTGTTAAGAGGGGCATACACTATAATTATATTATGTTATTACGTTATTAATATCAGCTATAGTCTGAACGTATCACAATGTTATGACGTCAGGGTACGCGTGTAACATGCATGAGAAAGTTAATACTGTTTGCCACACCTTTTAAAGGGTGATACGGTCAAAATTTGGTCAATATCAACTTGACGTATTTCTTTCAATTTTGCATTTAAAAAACCTGAACACCCCTCATTTTGAAGGTGTGTGTGTGTAGAATGTTGCTCCTATTTTGATTTTGGAATTCACTCTTCAGTTGTCAAAATGCCGTCCAAGCAAGAAGAGCAGCGTATCAAAATTTTGCTCGCGCATCGCGAAAATCCGAGCTACTCGCACGCAAAGTTGGCAAAATCGCTAAAAGGATTTGGAAAAGCGGAAGCCTAACTGAATATTTTTCCTGAATTTTATACTAATTGAACTTGAAAAAGAAATTTAATTTGATTTTTTAAATAAACGATTTCACCGATTTACACACGTTTTCCCTTGACCAAATTTTGACCGTATCACCCTTTATTTAACTAAACTTATGAATTGATTACATGCTTAAATAATAAGGCCACAAATGTTTTAGTCGGTTTACAACCTTCAAGATCGATCATAGGGATCGATTAGGCCAACAGCAATGGAAGAAAATTATACACTAACAACAGACGAATTGACCATAGCGGCGATAAGAAAGCTTGGAACATTCTGAATTATGAACGCTGATTTTATTTCAACAAGCGTTTCTATAGATGTAGACCTAGCACTTTTTTAAGGCTGGTTTAATCTGGTTTAACTTGCCTTTTTGTGTGGGAGGGAGTCTGGAGCACTCTGGTGGTTTTGTCAAAATTGTCATCAAATTAAAAATGAATCTGAGTTTTAAATTTCTTGGTATACTAGCTCTAGTGACGACATTAGTTAAGGTTAAATCACATCTATTCACCGCACTCTCCGAATTGGATCAAATGATTCAAACTGAAGGTGTTATTTTAGAAAAACTCAACCATTATATTCGACTTCAAGAGGAAAGGTTAAACCATCTGAGATGGTTAGCTGTAAGGAATATCGGAAGAAGCATCATTTTATGATTGACCACATTTTTATAGGAAAAGAACTCAAATGCTTAGGGAACACAACAAAGCCATCAAACAGCCCGAGGAATACCTGTTCAACCCAGTAAATGCTTTCCTACTGATTAAACGACTTACAAAGGATTGGAGTGAAATCCAACAGCTTATAACGTATGAAATGCAGCGCGACTTCATGGGTGATGGTACCAATTATAGCAATTTACTCGTTCTTCCCACTGAAGAAGATCTAACGGGAGCAGCACAAGCCTTAGCACGACTCCAGGATACGTACAATCTCGACACGGCTGTGGTTGCCAGTGGAATCCATGCCGGTTCAGAAATGTCATTCGACGATTGCTTTGAGTTGGGTAAACAGCTGCACGCTACTGGAGACCAGCACCGATCTGTTCTGTGGCTGCGTGAGGCATTAAATCGTTCCGAACAAGGAACAATGGGCGTGGCGAAGAAAGCTGAGGCATTGGAGTATCTGGCGTTCTATACATATCTTCTTGGTAAGTATGAAAAATGTAGGAGTTCCAGGTAGGAAAGTAATCAAATGTTTTTTTTTTTTTTAGGAAATGTTGAAGTTGCTTTAGGCTATGTAAAGGACCTGCTGGAGATGAAACCAGATCATGAAAATGCTTTTCGACATAAAGTATTCTACGAAGAACTCATTCAGCATGGACAAGATCGAAAATTCAACATCAACAGTATCCCTAACAATGATCCTGCGAATATAATATTAAATTCGTATAGGAAACTTTGCCGAGGAGAAGTACAACGAAACGCCAGCGAAACGTCGAACCTCAAGTGTCGATATGTAACGAGTGGGTCAGCCTTCACAAGGTTAGCTCCGCTCAAGCTCGAAGAAGTACATATCCTGCCAAGGATCGTATTATACCACAACGTTTTATCAGACAACGAGATTCAGGTGCTGAAACGAATAGCCAAACCACGCTTCAAGCGAGCAACGGTACTGAATCATGAAACAGGAGACTTTGAACCTTCCAATTATCGAATCAGCAAATCAGCATGGCTTGCAGACCAGGATGATCCCATTGTGAATACTATTTCCAAACGTGTAGCGGATATGACCGGACTATCAACGGACACAGCAGAGGAACTGCATGTTGTGAATTATGGACTTGGAGGACAATATCATCCACACTTTGATTTCTTTCAAACGGACAAAGTCGCTACACCCAACAATGGAAATCGCATTGCAACCGTACTTTTCTATGTGAGACAGCATTTCATTGACTATTAACTGAAATTAATAACGCATTATTTCGAACAAGCTGAGTGACGTAAGCCATGGAGGTGCCACCGTGTTCCCAAAAATTGGAGTAACTTTGAAGCCACGGAAAGGATCGGCTGCCGTTTGGTACAACCTGCATTCGTCTGGGGATTTGGATTTTTCAACAGCACATGGCGCGTGTCCCGTCCTGATCGGTAGCAAGTGGGGTGAGAATAGTGGTGTAAAATTGGGAATTAACATAGCTTTAAACGATTATTGTTTCAGTTGCAAACAAATGGCTCCGTGAACGAGGACAAGAATTTCGTAGAAAGTGTGATTCTCAAAGCTTGGTTGAAAACAATGGTCCAAAATTGAGGCATTATATGAGTTAAACAAAATGAAAATGGTGTTTGCTTTTACATAACTTTTACACACTGTAATCCCTTGATTTTTGCAGTGTTGACGATGGATGGTTGTCCCAGCAGCTGCTGCAATTTATGGTTCATTCACCTCCTCCACGTTTCGTAATTCATCTGTTCTCCACCGTAAATGGTTCGCAATACCTTTCGTTCGAAAACACCACGGTGGTCCTCCACGAGCAAAGTTCAGGTCTCGTGGCTGTAGAGGAACACCGGTCTAATCAGCTTCTTGTAGATCAACTTCATGCGGTGACGGATTGCATTCGACCGGAGCGTCCTCCAGAGTCCAAAGTAGTCACGATTTCCTGCCATAATGCATCTTTGAATTTCTCTGCTGATATCATTTACGGCAGTCACTAGTGAGCCCAAATACACGAACTCGTTGAACACCTCAATTTCGTCACCGTCAATCTGAACTCGTCTTCCCTAGAACCTCTTTCTCTCATGAGCTAGTCTTCGATGCGTTGATGGCAAGTCCAATCCGCCTAGCTTTAGCCTTCAGTCTGATGTACGTTTCCGCCATCGTCTCAAAGTTCCGTGCCATGATGTCAATGTCATCGGCGAAGCCAAGAAGCTGGATGGACTTTCTGAAGATCGTGCCACTCTTGTCTATCCCAGCTCTTCTGATCACACCTTCTAACGCGATGTTGAATAGCAGGCACGAAAGTCCATCACCTTGCCGTAACCCTCTTCTAGATTCAAAGGAACTCGAGAGTGTCCCGATACTCAAACAACGCACATCAATCGATCCATTGTCGCCTTGACCAATCGCGTCAGTTTATCCGGAAATCACGAGTACGAAAGTCTGCCATAGCTGATCTCAATCGATTTTGTCGTATGCGGATTTAAAATCGATGATCAAATGATGTGTGGGCACGTTGTATTCGCAGCATTTCTGCAGAACCTGCCAAATCGCGAAAATTTGGTCCATGAATCCCGCTGAATTCCCAAATCTTGGAAATTACCCAGTGCAGCGCTCCAATCAGTGCTACACCACGGTATTTTAATAGCTCACTTGGTAGTTAATCCACACCAGTTGCTTTGTTTTTCTTCAGCCGACCGATCTCCTCCTCAACTTCTTGAAGATCAGGGGCCGGTAGCCTGTCGTCTTCTGCGCGTGCTTCAAGGTGCCGCCTTCGTTTTCGGCTACATCACCGTTGAGCTACTCGTCATAGCAGTGTTTTCACCCCTCAATAACCTCACACTAGTTCGTGAGAAGGTTGCCGTTCAAGTCCTTGCATATATCGGTTTGTGGCACGTAGCCTTTGCGCGAACTATTTAGCTTCTCGTAGAAATTGTAACAAGGTTAGAAGTATTAAAAAAAAATATGCTAAAATACAGTCCTACACCACACCATTAAAATTACTATTTTCATACGAGTGAATCGCGTTCCTAGTCTCTGGACTTGAAACAATCAGAAACGTCAGACGAGGTATGTCAAATGACGACGGGTAGGTAGAGTTTATGCCACTGGGAAAACTAATCCGAGTGTATATATTGGGTCGTAAAAGTACACGGCTGGCTAATTGAATTCGATCTGATCTCAACTGCGTTACCGATCACACGGCCAAAGATAGTTCATCTAGTGAAGACAAGGATTAAAATAAGTAGGAGTGTCTAGTGGATGTAGAAAGGTCTAGTGGTTAAAAAACGCCGTTTGCTGAAATAGTGATTTTTTTCCAGCTAGGGAAGCCATAGTGAAAAGTGTGAGGATGCTTCGTTTTCACAGGCAAGTGACAGCCATTTGGAAAGGAATAATCCCTCCAAACAAGGGTGCACCTCTCGGGTCATGGATCCAGAACGACTGAGCGAAGGACGGATCCCTTCATTGAGCTCGACTCGCATGGACGTCACCGTACACGTGTTGGACTGATTGGAGTCGGAACAAACGGTTCACTTCTAACCTCACACACGCCATCTGCAGGTCAGTCACGTGCATTACCTCTGGGAAGCTTTGCGCGAACGTCGAAAGCACGACGGCTTTGTGAACTCCTACCTAACCAAGCTCAACGTAGTGGGGAGTAGCAAACGTTGCACGCGGAGTGGTGAAATACGCTAGCAGAGCCACAAACCTCCTACACGACAAGACGACGGACACCGGCGAACGAACATTTGCCACCCACGCACTAGGCCCTCGTATCACCGAAACGGAACCACGGACATATGTCCCGACATCCAGCGCTACAGAAATCAGGTTAGCACAGATAAAACCCTATTCGATGTACCCCCTTACTAAACCTAGTGTTATGAATAAACACCTGAAATGCACCTCGCAGTGAAGTGATTCACATAAGTGATCGAACACGTGATAGAGTGACGGAAGAGTTCAATTGGTTAAATTCGCGTGAACGTTGTAAATTCTTCCCGTAGGCAAGCAGAGGCGAACCTTCAAAGGAAACCCCTCTTACTGATTTGAATGAGTCTTTCCCCTGTTGGTTAAGTTTTGATATTCAGAATTCGCAACCGCTTTGCTCGCCTTTTGTTGTTACGATTGAGCTCGCCGTGAGGTTTCAGAGCCAGGATGGGTCTGTTTGAGTCCCTAACTTCTTCACGGTAGATTCTTGTATCTACCTGGCGCGGTACAGATTTATGATAGTGTTGTTTCGTTAGTGAAAACAAAGAGAAACTAATATCACACCTGGTGAGTGAATTCTTAGCTGATTTCTTTACCATAATGTAGATCTTGTCCATCTAAACAACTTTGCCAAAGACGGAAACCTTATATCTAGATAGAGCTGGAATTAGGGCGTAACAGCTTTTGTAAACAATGACTTCTCTCGATGTTTTCTAGGAATTCAAGGCACGCCCACGCAAACGTACATCCTCATCGGGTAGAAGAAGCATTTTTTTTTATCGCTGTCATGTTTTTCGGAAGTTGGAAAATATGGCGTCACCCGTAGAGCAACGTCGCGAATTGATTTTGCGCAAGCACCTGGGAAATCCTCAACTCTCTCACCGGGACATCGGAAAACAACTCGGAATCGTGCAGTCAACGGTGAGTCGTGTGATTAAACATTAATACGAAACTCTGATCATCGAACGGAAGGAGAAATGCGGTCAGAATGGATGTTCTATTAGTGATCAGGATCACAAGCGTGTCGTGAAAGCGTTTAGGCGGAATCCCAATGCTTCGGTCAGGGATGTGACCAAAAAGTTGAATCTGTCCAAGTCTTTCGTTTAGAGAGCCCTGGACTGGGAGAGACTGCATACGTACAAAGTACAGAAAGCTCCAAATCGTGACGAACGGCAAAATACGGTAGGAAAGTCATGGGCCGGAAAATTTAGATGTTGACGTAGCCTCATTGTCTCATCATGGATGATGAGACTTACGTCAAGGTGGACTTCCGGTAGCTTCCGGAGCTACTGATCTTCACCGCCCAGCACAAGTTTGATGTTCCGGAGGAATTAAAGAAGCAGAAACTTTCAAAGTTTGCCAAGAAATACATGATTTGGCAAGCGATCTGCTCATGTAGCAAACGGAGTGCGCCGTTCGTGACTACCGGGACTGTAAACGGGGAGATCTACAATCTACATCAAGGAGTGTCTACAGAAGTATCTGCTTCCTCTGTTGGAGCAACACGAGGGCCCTACGATCTTCTGGCCAGATCTAGCTTCGTGCCACTATTCAAATGTTGTCCTGGAGTGGTACAAAGCCAACGGGGTCACTTTCGTACCCAAGGACGTGAACCCTTACGAATTCGCTATAACATTGATGGGTTGGGTGGGCATCCATATATGACGATACGTGCGCACGTTAGTCTTGCCGACACCCCATCCTTACAATTATTGGACTAATCCAAATTTTAGCAATTCATGCTCTTCGACCTTATGGTCGGCAAAAAAGGTCCTCCGTGGCACCCTCGCTGGACGCCACACTCAACGAAAAAAAAACAGAACGGACTCACCAGTTGATTTAGCTGCTGTTGATTGCTGCGATTTATAACTATAACTAAACAATCAACGAAGATCAATTAGAATTTCAGTCTAAAAGTAAAACCACGATGCTTTAAATAACTCACTTTACAACACGAAATTATCACGCGAACAAAACGAAACACTTCCACTGTAATATCCGGTTCGGACGAAAGTGAAGCGAAGCCGTGACCCTCAGATTAGGGAAGTTGACCTCGGCCGAACTTAACGAACGTTCGATTTCCCCGCGAACTTCTTCGAACTAGATCGGCAATAACTGTTACAACCTATCGGCTAGATGCTTACGTCAGACAGTGACTTGAGTGTGAAACAATCGATAGAACTGTTTCCGTGAGCAAATTGGCGATCATCTCATCGGCGGTGGGAGGTACCCTTCACCATTCCTCCCAAAAAGGGGAGTTTGGTAAAGGAGATGACAACTCGATTCGTGCCTTCCTCAAAATTGACCTTTGCCCGCTTTCTACTCTCTATATACAAATGTCACACTGTCGTACTCTAACGGAACTATCAACTCTATACTTTCATCTCCTCATCTATCTTATAAAATGACCCCTATAAGTCTGATATTTGACGTTAAGGTTCAATTTACTTTGATGCATTTTTTTTTAAATTCAAAAGCAGTTTTTTTCGACGCATTATTTTAGATTGCAAAAAGATCGCGTCATTTTGTGTAAAATATCAAAATGAATCGAAAAGAGCTTTTTGGAATCTGAAATAATGCGTCGGAAAAAAACTGCATTTGAAATTTTCCAAAAAGCATCAAATTAAATTGAACCTAAGCATCTCCAACTAAGGCTTGTACTCGAAAACAATGCACCATTTTTTCCGTGTTTAACTTTTTTATCCGTGGGTAAAAATTGATGAAAATCTGGGTATAACTAGTTTGGAGTGAATTGTTTACATGTGCAAAATTTCATAACAATCGGTTCAGTGGTTATTGAGATGTCATCGAAACAAGAAGAAAATCACCGGAGAATTTTGCGCGCCGTCATGGAAAATCCGACTGCGACGATGAGATGGATAGGAAGTCAACTGGGAAT